TCGTGCATGATCGCGCAGCGATACCCAACGGGTCTCTTCTCGCCCCGCTCTCTCAAGCTCTGATAGAGAAAAGCACGCAGAAACCCTCAGTATCTTGTCAAATTATTGGGCGAATCCTGCGAGGGGATTCTCATTTGCGTGCAGTGAGAAATGATTTGTCAAAATTGCCTGCGTATTGCCTCTGGGAGGGAGGGGCAGATGTCATGTACGGCAGCAATGCATCCAGTCTACATACCTATGTCATTAATGAATGGCAACACCCTGAGGTGGGCTGTAGATTAGGGTTCAAATACGTTCATGCCCAACAATTGAATCATACCAATACCGTGATAAACACTTTTTGGCAAGACTCATCTTTGAGTGCTTATCATAACCTTCGCCTCATCTGCAGCTACCTGCTGGATTCGACATGGACACGATACAAAAGAGAACATACCTTGTCTTTACAAGGGGCATTATGCCTAGTAAGCTGCGTCTCGGGAGTCTTCATGTCAACCCTGCAAATCCCCAAGGCCCCGAGAGCCATAGATGGACCTCGGATTTTACGTATGTAACTATGACCCCCTTCACCCCAGTTGCTACATCTTCATGAGTTGACTGGGGTGTCTATGGATTCGTAGATCCAACCAACTGGACCGTTGGACGGGCGAAGCCGAAATCGAACATCCCATCTCAATCGAGGTTCGGGCAGGCCGAGAGTGGCTTGTGGCTGCAGGCTTATTTCAGTTGTTGAGAGGAGAGCTTGCTCGTTCTAAAACAGTCGAGGTCAAGGTCGAGGGCGAGCACGGTCGTAGAGTTGAGATTGATCGGTACGTTTTCCAACAAAACGGTTCTTTCTTCTGACTTATTCACGAACTTAGACCGGAAGCCTTCTTGAAAGACGTTGTTTTGAATTCTGCCGAAGCAAGAACATGGTTAGGGGCCCAATTTTCAGCCATTCGACAAATGTCTATTTTCAAGAGGCTTCACCGCACTATGTCAAAAACTCCGAGGATTTGGATGGTTACTGGACTTCAATATGTTACCAAAGCGCATATTGCTACCCGTCAAACAATGTCTTCATCGACTTCAGCTGGCGTAACGGTGCCGCTACCAGACATCGCAGCTGCCTTAGCTCAGTTGAACATCATTGGCATGGATGCTTCTTCTGGACGGTCAGAGGGCTCTGGAACGATGTCCTATCATCCGGATGAGAGGGTATGGGCCGCACAGTTCTCGCCTGTGACCTTTAGTTACCTACAGAATATGGGTCAAGGTGCCGAATCCCAATTAACACACCTCATCCAGCTGCGTGAACCCCCAGACCTTGGTATTGGGGGAATCCGCCGAGCTGAATGTGATGATGACGGCAAAGCTCATGGGGTAACAGGGCAGACTCTTTGCCAGATAATTGGACTCGGTTGCACGAAGAAAACATGCGAAGAAGGGGAGGAGAGCACTCTGCTCGAAGAAGTGCTCGATGTCGACTGGGAGCAGTATAGCAAGCACTTGTTATCAGATTGAATTGCTTGCAGAGTTGTACCGAGTACTTGACGAGTGGCACGTATACATGGTGCGCAACATGCTGTTTGGCATTAACTCATATACAGCGGGAGTCAGATGGGCAGTGAAAATCCCTCACATTGGGGGGTGCTGCAGTAGGTATCTGCATGCAGCAACGGAGCAACATCCTGTCCGGCGGCCCATATTTACTGCCGTCAGCACATGACCACGTCATCAACGACAACAAAACCGGCTGCGCATCGTGGTTTCAGTCGATCAGTGATTTTCTTTGGAAATCAACCCATTAGACATTAAGTGTCCTACAGCGGGCCAAGTCGGAAATTCAGGACAACACGAGAAGGTGATACGGGTATCCATTGAGCTCCTGGGGAGGCGGAAGAATCATGAGAACCTCAGGGTTGATATCACAGACACTCGATGAACCGATAGCCCACACCCCCAACATTATATATTCTCTGTGATAGGTTACACGCCGGTCAGGATTAACAGGCAGAAATGTCAAGACCCAATGCATCCCCTACTTACTAGAATGAGGGGCTTGCGGGGTGAACCATCGATCCAACAAGTCTTTCTGGCATCTGGTGACTCTGGCTAAGAGCTGGGTCGGCGGCCTCCTGTTGCCAGTTGAATGAACAATACTTGCTCGCATCTCCTTTCATGTTCATATCGCTGCCCGTGGGTATCAATCGACAAAGCAACCAACCCCTTGATCGAAAACATTGACCGCCGCTTTTTGAACCCCCCTACAAGCCTTTCATCTTAATGTAAAGGGCTTTTTCGAGGAATTAGAGACACACAATTAAACTCTTAAGCATCCCATTGCCACTCGCACCTGCCATACAGAATGCCGGATATATGGGCTCTTCTGGTCGGCAGCAACTTCTACTTCACCGGGAGTGCTCGGAGCCAGAATGGACAAAACATATCACTCAACAACCTTTCAGGCTGCGTACGTGACGTGGATTACACGTTCCATATGCTTCGCAATCGCGGTGTCAAAGAGCAGAATATCTCGAAGCTAACGGCATCTACCTCCGAGAACGGAGAACGTCCAATTGAACCACCGGATTGCTGGCCAACCTTCAAGAATATCCAGAGAAAGCTGATCGATATCAACAAGCGTGCTCAGCCAGGGGACATTGTTTATTTTCACTACTCAGGCCATGGCGTTCAGCGGAAAGCTGTCCAAGTACCCCAGACAGACGCGGACCCTCTGGTTGGCATGGCCTTGGTCATGACTGACGTCTTGGAAGGCGAACCATTTCTCACAGGCTACCACCTAGGTCTTTGGATTCGAGGAATGGCGGAGGACAGGAATCTCAGATGCACCGTCATTCTGGATAGTTGCCACTCAGGTGAAGCTTTCCGGAACGCTGGTGATTTCGTGCCACGAGACATAACTGCAACCATCTCGAGTATGGTTCTTCAAAGCGACAAGCAAGCCGACAAGGAAGCCGAAAGCGCGTATCTGGAGCATCTTAGCTCGCACAATAGCCGAAATTCGATCAAGGACCCGAGGCCATGGCTCTTAAATCCCAAGAACGCTACCATCATTACGGCCTGTGATAGGCACGAAACCGCCGGGGAGCGCACAATCGACGGTATAAGACAAGGTGTATTGACGCACAACCTTCTTCACGTACTGCGTGACTTTGATGGGAAACTTTGGCCCTCACATTCCCACCTACTCCATGACGTACGGCGGCGAATCAGAAATCTTCACGGGCATGAACGTACAACTCAAACTCCATTGCTCTATGGTGACGGAAATATTGAGGTTTTGGGGACGATGGTATACCACCAGAGCGAGGTCGCGGCCATCACTCCGAGAGATGGGAAAATCCTCATCGAAGTAGGTGCCTGCCAGGGTGCAGCTGTTGGAAGTATTTACGACCTACTGTCCCCAGCGAAAATTGGCCTGTCGAGTCATCAAGATGTCGGAGTCCAAGCTCGTGTTGAAAAGGTGAATTCGTTCAGCTGCACGGCTCGACTGCTCGACAACAATCACGAGGTGGACGCGACCTGGCGAGCTGCTCTGCGATACTGGGCTTTTCATCCTGATTTCATCATCGCTGTCGTCGGTGATGAGTCCCCGTACCCCGGCTTTCTCGATAATCTGAGGGAGAAATTGCGGGTGTATGAGGGACTCCGTCTATGGGACGGACCGCTTGATTCGGACGATCAGGCCGGCCTCTTGCTCGAAACTACCAGAAAAGGACCTTTCCGTATTTTCGATAAGGAACGCAATCCAATAGCAAGATTGCCTTCAGTGCAAGCTGATGACACCATGGCGCCCGAGAAATTGGCTTACATCCTCAGCCACCTTGCGCGCTACCGTCGTCTTCTGGATCTGTCATCCATGCCGGCGTTCCAACAGTTCAGGTCCGATCGATTCATTCTGGACACTGAACCGCAAACCCTCAGAGAATCCGAGACTTTGAAAATTAGCTACAAATACCTTGGTCCTTCAGATACTGCATGGATTTCAATTTTCTGCTTCAACGCGTCTTGGGGTATTGACAAGATTGAACCGGAAGGCACCGAGCCTGCTTGCAGAATTCGCGCATCAGAAGTTCCGGAACCAATTGAGCTGGAAGTCTATGTTCCCGCCGCTGCGGAAAATGAAGCGTCTGGGCCAATCGAAGATAGATATGTGCTGTTCGCTTCAAGCGGGGAGAGTGCCCCTATCTCGTGGGGTGAAATATGCCTTCCGTCTCTCCCTGTTGATAGTCGGGAGTTACTGACCAGAATCTTCACACACACGTCTGACAGCACCTTCGATAGGAATGGGATTAGGAAACAGGGTATTGCTGGCACCAAAATTCTATGGACCACCCAGGAGCAAGCTGTCACGGTCATCCCAGCTACCCAACCTTAGATTTAATCGAGAAGACTCTACTTCAATTACTGACATGCGCTCAAGCTGTCAATGGCGTGAGGAAGATGCTGTTTTTCTGCTAAGATATTAGTCCAAGAAGCAAACGGTGGCGGCTTTGTGGATTGGCTATCTTCTCGGTCGAGGAACGACAGCTTCGCATACCCATAAATGAGTCGACGTAGCTGCATGAGGCCCTTAATTCTCACGAACCTACTCGGAGCTGGTCGGCTTTACACATGTATTTTTTCACTCGCATATCAGCTTGAACTATGTGGCATTCATGGGACAAGATCTCTCCCATTTATCAAAAAAGACAGTGATTTCACATTCATGCTTAGCCCCTTTCTCGCCAATCATGAAGGCTGCTATGGTTGTAAGACTACATCTCCGCCCTCAGCCTCCGGCTTATCGTTGTTGCTTTTGCACTGAGAACCCATCACTTCTTGTTATTCTCATGAAATGAGAATCACTACCTCCACCCCCTGCAAAGCCTGCACCCTAACTAGTATGTCAACATTTCACTCCTCAAGTCACCCCGCATAGCCCTCGACCAGTGAGAGTCAGCAGAGGCATCTCCAGTCAGCTTTCGGGTACCTCCACAACCTGCCTCTGCTCTACCTCATCCTTTGTAAGACCCGTAACTTCCCTTCTTCAACCTTGAATAATAAGTCTCGCCAGAGGCATCTCCAGTCGGCCTTTGGGTGCCTCCAGAACCTGCCTCTGCTCCACCTCCACCTTGCCATGAACCGTAACCTCCTTTCTTCAGCCTCGAGTAGTAAGACTCGCCAGAGGCATCTACAGCCGGCCCGCCTCCAGAACCTGTCTCTACTCTACCTCCACCTTGGTAAGAACCGTAGTTTCCTTTGTTTAGCCTCGAGTAGTAAGACTCGCTAGAGGCATCTCCTGTTGGCTTCCAGGTGCCGTATGATCCAGCTCCAGCACTACCGCCTTTATATTGCCAACTTCCTCCAGATGGAATCTGTCCGGTTCCGCCACTCCCCAGTTGAGAATCACCCGCAACATCTGCCGCTGGCTTCTGGATGCCCTCTGCAGATTTCTGCCATTCCGCAAAGGCGCCTTTCATTTTGCTGGGCCCCCACAGCTGTGAGCCCTGGCTGGCACCTCCCGCTGGGACTTGTTGGCTATCTGGCTGCGCCTGACCGCCGCCGGCTCGAAAGTTGCCTCCCAGGCCATCTGGAAGACCTCCCATGTCGACATCAAGCTTCCATTGACCACCAGAAGGCAGACCACCAGTGCCGCCTTGGCCTGATGGAATGCCTCCATGAGCATCAGCATCGTCGTCCGCAATCCACTTTCGGAGCTTTCTTCGATCAGGGATCTCTTCTTCATACTCGACCCATTTGCCACCCTTCTCACGTCCAGCACCGTCTTGAGCTGTGCCAGATGCCCCTGAACCAGATCCATGACCAGTATAGCTAGCCTTGCCCTCGCCACTTGGGGGATACTGAGGCTCTGTGGACCCGTCCGCTCCGGCGCCGTTCTCAAGTCCGCCAGATCCGCCCTTGGCTATCGTGGCAGGATCGGGTACTTGAACATTCGGGTCCGGAACTGTGCCCATGTTCCCGGAGTTTGTTTCTGCACCTGGTGATGTAGAGATGTCTGGCTGTTCTTTGTCTGCCAGATTGGTGCTGTCTTTGCCGGCCTGCGTGTCGCGTTTGGCTGTTTCGTTATTGGTGATTGGGTCGTCAACAGGGATGCTGGCCTGCATACCGTCTGGTGCTCCCTTCTTGACATCTTCGCTGGATGAAGGCTTCCCGGTCAAAGGCGCCTGAGATTTGTCTTTGGAGTCGCCAGCTGGTTTGCGCGGGCCACCAGACCCAGAAATGAGCCCTTGTGCACCAGCCAAGCAAAACTTGTACTCGACGCACGGCGCAGTCACCAACTTGCAGCGTCCGTCCTCGAGAACCTCGTCCTCCTGGCACTCCGGTACAGCTTTGGCGAAACACTCCCCGGTGACGGCGTTGTAGACGTGACCCTCGGTACAGGTAGGCTCCTTGACAGCAACACAGCTCTTGCCATTAAAGACGAAGTTGGCATCGCACTTGGGGTCGTTGCTCGAAACACACTCGCCGTTCTCGAAATAGGTATTCTCAGGACAGTCGGGCGTGACTCCCATGCAGCCAGTGCCGTTGAAAACTTGATTCTCTCCACAGCTAGGCGGCAACGCTGACACGCACTGCCCATCCTTGAGAACATAACCGGGCTTGCATGTTTCTTTCTCGATCGAGACGCAGGTTCCTTTGACCATAGTCTTGCCGTCTGGGCAACTGGGTCCATCTACCGATCGGCACCCGTCATCTGTGAGGACGAACCCAGCTTAGCATGCAGGTTGGCCATGAACGCAACGGCCGTCTCGGTAGACTGCAGGCGGTGTACAAGTGGCTTGAATAGTTGTGACGCATTGCCCTTCCTGGTTGAGCACTGAGCCAGATGGGCAGACCGGGGCGTCCTTGATGGATAGACACCCGACGCCATCAAAAGCAGTGCCTTCAGGACAAGAGGGCTTGCTCCCAATGACGCAGGCACCATCATGAAGTACTCCTCGGGCGCACTCTGGTCTCCGGTTGAGGCTGCACCGTTTTCCATCCCACTCCGCAGACGTACCGTCACACGTTGGCTTGGCGTAGCTGACGCATTTGTCGCCCTCGAGGATCGTCTTCCCGGAGCATGTGGGACTTGATCGGAGAATACATTTTGAGTCGTGGTACAGGTATCCCTCCGGGCAGCCGGGCGCTTCCAAGGTGGATACACAGGTATCACCATCCGGATAGGTATTGTTGGGGCAATTCGGGACTCCTCGCTTCACGCATTGATCTGCTTCTAGCATCCAGCCGCTCGGACACGAAGGTTGACGATTGGAATACTTGATGCACTCTCCATCTTTGTATGTTGTACCGGATGGGCAATCTTCAGTTGTCGTCATAGACTTGCAAGTTTCTCCTGAGACAGTCGTCCCGTCTGGACAGCAGCGAGAAATCCCAGATGCTCTGTCTGTAGAGATCTTTGTTTCAGGGGGGCATCTAATTGCAGTGTGGTCTAGTCAGCTCTCTGACTAATATTGATTCCCATCGGTTTGAATAATACCGAATAGAAGTACTTACTTGGCTTCGCTCACGTCCACACATGATTGTCCTTGAAGCGTTGTCTCGCCTGGGCATTGAGGCTTGCTGCTGACTGTGCAGGATCCGCGTTCAGGATCAAAGGTCGAGTCGCCTTGGCACTGTAGGTGTTGCTAAGCACACATTTTCCTATCTTCGCCACTCTTTCATATGGATAGGCATACCTTTGGCCCCTCGGAAGATGTGCATTGGCCGAACTCAAGAGTTGCCCCATCAGGGCATTGAGGGGACTTCTCTAACATACACTGCCGGCTCGAGGACACGTAGCGGGCTCCCGGTGGACATTGAGGGTCCTTCTTGGAGATACACGAAGCGCCTTCGACTTTGGATCCGTTAGGACAAGATGGGCCTTCGGGCGTCACGCAGCTGGCTCCATGAACGACATCGCCCTCAAGACACTGAGGCTTCTTGAGGGACTCGCAGATGGCACCACGAAGCTGAAACCCCTCGCCACAGGTGGGGGCACGCTCATGAACACAGTGCTTGCCAACAAAAACAGTGCCGTGATCACAGGCAGGCGGCTTCCGAGAGGTGCACTGGCCGTCGCTGTACTCGTAGCCGTTGCCGCATTCTGGAGGAGCGTTGTGAAGGCAGTGCTTGCCCTTGCGGTACGTTCCCGGAGGGCATGAGGGCCCGGTGATGATACAGCTCTTGCCGTCGAAATCAGTACCGATAGGACAGCACTTGACGCGGCCTGAGTTGGGATCGGTGGCAGGTATGATGCTGTCCAGATTATGCTGAATGGCTGATCCGGAGGATCCCAGGGAGAATGGACTGCCTAAGATCTGAGCGGACTGCTTGGCTAGACAGCAGCTGAAGAGAAGCCAAGGAGGCGCTAGAATAGCCAGGCGCATCTTTGCAAAAGCGCTGAGCGGTGGTGTAATAAAGATACGATGAACGATGAATGTAACAGAATGAGTTGTCGATGAATGATGCTGACTGAATCTTGAACGAACAGAGAGATTCATTTCCTTACTATGCCTTTATACTCAAGTGTAAAGTGGCCTTCTGCCAGTCACTTTGTTGTTATGATGATTCATCTTAGTGCAACGCGTCATTCGGTCAAACTCCAAGCAATACAAGGCGGCTGATGAACGTGCCATACCCAATCAATCAACCCAATTGCCTTCTCCGAGCCATCATTTTTGTTGCCGCTCGGGAGCTCATGTTGTGCTAGAGTCTTCACATACGGGAGTCACGCACTTTGGTTCAACGCGGCCTCCAGGCCGCCTGAGCACAAGGCCAACAGCCGAACTGAACTCTCGTTGACGTGTTAAAACTCATTCCAAGCGAAAGATCAGCCTTTCATCGGGTTGAAGCAGACTCGGTTGAAGCAGACTCTGAGCACATCAACCTCGGCCTGTTGCCGGTGTGGCAGGCGGCCGACGGCGGTCTGAACATGGATCCAATCAGGAAGTGGAATCACGGTGTTAGATAACTGGTGTAATGTTTGTAGCACGTAGTGCGTGAGGCTCATGTTGTGATGACTGCAGAGCAATGTTGAGCTGCTGTTCTGGACCCGCCTATCTTTCGTGCCGGTATGGGATGCGATGGAGTACACGCCTCCCGTTTCCGTGAACCGACAACAGCTGTCTATGGTGACTCTCGCCTCACTGATTAATACTACTGCGCCGAATACAGTCATTTCTGTTTATTGACACCCAAACCCGCATCTCTAAATCATCGATCGCGATGGTTGTAACATAAGTGCTACGTTGATCTGCTGGCCGACGAGACACAAGCCTGCGGCTCCTCGCAAGTCATGCGACATTGAACCCCGCCTATGCGTAACAGTCTGTGTTATCATGGTATAGTTGTATCGACATTGTAGAATCAGGTTCTGAAGCCGGTCAATGAAAAGCTTTTGGTTGCTGCCGAATGAAACAGGCTCAGGCTTTGAGGAGGAAAGGATAAAAGCAAGAGACAAACCCATCACTTCGAAACCTCAAGCACTTCACATCACATTGCAATCCAATAAAACTTCATACCTGAATCTGTACCGCCGTTCGTTCCTTTCCCAGCATCCAACATCATCATTGCTGACCATACTCCAGAAAGTCGACAATGAAGATCTCTATTCTGTCACTCACCACTCTACTCGCAGCTGTTGCTGTTTCGCAGAAGCCGGTGACTGAAGACGAAGCGAATGCCTGGCAGTCGTGCACTTGGGCTCTGCTTGACAAGTTCAACAAGGGAGACGACGGTTCCAAGGCTGCCTGCGACCTGTGGGGCTGCTTGCAGCTTATGTCTTCTCGATACCACCGCGGCGGAGGCCTTACGGTACTTTCCAGGGCACTCGATCCCGTTTGCGGCGTCACCAACTTGGGTAGCAATCTGCTGCCGAAATGGGACATGTTCCAGGTATGAAGACTTTGCAAGTCAGATGCAATGTACTGACCACAGCGCAGCATCTCTGAGAAACTACGGCAGGACACTTTCAGGGTGGCCACAACACCCGGGTGAGCAGCAAGCAAGGCTGACACTCAAAGTCAAGAACGAGAAGCCCGCTGGTCTCGTAGAAACATGCGGCTGATCACTCGAGGGCTTCAAATTATCTCCAGGGAGGAAAATGTTCTAAGCAGAGTGTGGACTGCGTATCCAGTTTTCATCGGCCCGCTCTGCTATGCCAAGCTTGGGATATATTTGGAAGTTGAAAAATAAAGTTTCAGGTTCTGAGATGTTTCTAAACAAATCAACTTGCCTTTGACTTTGAAATGGTTTATTGGTGCTATGCATCTGCACTGTTTTGAGTACGAAGGAGGGTGCCTTGTCCATGATCTTGACGTCGTTGATCGGGCCGCGGAGGCCTGAAAAGGGGCTGGCGATCAAAAGAGCGCGTTTGGTTGAAGTCATCGCTACTAAGTTGAAGACTCTGTGGAAAAGGATACTGGTACACAATGGGGTCATGGTCCATGTGCCCGGGAATCAAGTATACACATACCATTGCCTGCATGCAAACGTTGATCTGCCTTGACCTGGAAGCTTACAAGCATCAATCAGACTCGCGGCAAGTTCCGCCGATTTATCAGCTCCTCGATTGATGTTGTTCATACAAACACACACTGGAAGCCTTTTTCTGGTCTTGGCAGCTTTGTGATTACCGGACCCCCCGCATGCCAACCGCACTCTGCCCTTATTCACCCGCACGTGGTGTTATGAGAACGGCGCGGCATTCCTGCTGCCTAAATGCTGCAGGATATGTGATTGAACCTGCATATACCCCTGGAGTTGCGTTGGCGTTTGAATGGGCCAACGCATGCACATAACTGTTGAGGTCAGCAGATGTTCCTGGGGAGCATGCGACAGCCTTACCATTACATTCCATGGCGATGACTGCCCATCGTTGAATGCCATTACGGAAAGTTTGGAATGTACCGCGGTCTATGTGCCATACGATGGTTTTGAAGCAAGGCCTTGGTGCTCAAATTTGTAGTTTCTGCGAAGTCTGCCGAGCAGTGAAAAGTTCTCGTCGCAGTGGAGGCTCATCTCTTGCATGGCAGTTTGCCAGATTTGTACATCACTGGGTGGAGCAGTTTACACAACGTGACTGTGACTGACAGCGTGTACCATGCATGCAATCCATGTGGGAGCTCGTAAGTGGGTTGTTGTCAAACACATTTCCGCCACATCATATTCACAATTACCCCCTACGGAAAACCCTCGGTCTTCCTCTCTGGAGAGTGAACTCTGCGTGAACTCTTCAACATTCCCCGAACGACCGTGACGGTTCATCGAACAGATTCCTTGAGCTGTGAGACAAACCATACATCTTTGCAAGATAACGATCGCTGAGTGTTCTGGAAGTTCCGCGGCGAGGGAAGGCCACTGGCAAAGTGAGACGCCGACCGAGGCAAGGTATAGCAAAGTGATAAATCATCTCAAGGTAAGGGTTTCCTTACTTAAGTGAAAGTGAGTTCATTCTAAAGCTCCCATAGATTAGCGGTCTGTCATCGAGTAAACTTGCTTACCTTCGACGGGCCCTCTCTGCATGTTTCGAAGTCTCCATCGGACAGCGCTGAGCAAGACTAGCCATCAACGACAAAATTCTTGAAGACGTGACATATTCTATGGGATTTCGAAGTCCCGCACCTTCATCATGACCACAGATGAGGAGCAGACGTACGACGGGCGAGACAGCCCGGAGATCCCTTCACCCGGCACCGATCGAATCCTGTTAAGGCGGCCAAGCAAAATGAAACTTGGGAATATGCTCTTTCATCTATACTGTGAGACGAGAGACTTGGAAACACTTGACGAGGCAATATCGACTGCAACACAAGAGGTTTCCGCGGTACCTCAGGATGATCCCAACCTAGCAAGTTGGCTAGATGACCTTGTAAACATGTTCCTATGCCGACACGAGGAGACGGAAAGCTTGGACGACCTTGAAAATGCAATATCGAATGCAAAAAGAGCAGAATCAATATCTACTATGGCCAATCACGATCCCGAACGATTACCATGGCTGGATGATCTTGGGCACCTGTTATTCCGCCGATATGTGCGCACAGGAGATGTGAATGACCTTAACGTCGCGATATCGACTACGAAGGAAGTGCAACCAACGCCCACCTCGACTGGAAACGATCACAATCGAGCAAGCTGGCTAAATGGTTTTGGGGGAATGCTGTTCAGCCGATACAAGTTAACAGGAAATACGGACGACCTCGAGGCTGCGTTGTCAAATATGAGTCTTGCCGTCTCTTTGACGCCTCAGAATGATCCCGGTCTACTGGGTTTGTTAAACAACACTGGGACTATATGCTCTAGCTTGTATGAGGAGACCGGAAACTTGAGCTATCTCGAAACTGCAGTGTCTTATGCAAAGCAAGCAGTCTCTGCTACGCCCAAGAATGATCCCGACCTGCCGAAGCGGCTACACAACCTTGGACTGAGACTGTTGCGTCGCTACGAGCGGATAGGAAGCCTCGACAACCTGAACTCTGCAATATCGATGGTAGAGCAAGCAGTCTCTGTCACACCTGAGGGCCATTACGAACGACCATCATATCTTAACAGCCTTGGGGGTTTGTTGTTGAACCGATACGATCGGACAGGGAACAGAGGCAACCTTGAAGCTGCAATACTACATACAGCTCAAGCGGTCTCCATTACGCCCAACGACCATCCCGATATATCGATGTGGAAGAACAGCCTTGGCGATAGGTTATTCCGCCGATATCAGCGAACAGGGGGCATGCACGACCTTGAGGCCGCACTGCTGAATACGACGCAAGCAATCTCTAATACACCTGAGAGCAATCCCCACCTCGCAACATGTCTAAATAGCCGTGGAAACATGCTTTCAAGCCAATACGAGGAGACGAGAAACATGGACGACCTCAAGGCTGCAATAGCAAGCATGAGGAAAGCAGTCCAAATAACACCCAAGTGCCACTCCAACCGGGCACGACTACTAAGCAACCTCGGGCTTTTCTTATTCCGCCAACACGAAAAGACAAATGACATGGATATTCTTGACGATTCATTGCGGAATGCAAAGAGTGCTGTTGATGAGACACCCAAAAACCATCCTGATTTGGCTAAATATCTAAGCAACCTCGGGGATGTACTGTTCTGCAGCTACGAGCAGACAGGAAACATTGAAGATCGCGACTCCGCTCTCAACCTTTTCGAAGAATCGACAAAATGCCCTACCGCAATACCTGTGGTGCGGGTGCAAGCGGCTCGACGGGCTATTCGGATTTTACTAGAGTTGCCCATGTGGGAGCGGGCTTGCGAACTGGCCCAGGACGCAGTGAAGCTTCTTCCCTCTGTTTGTGACCGCTCTTTGGACCGGCAGGATCAGCAGCACGCAGTTTTGCAGACCGCAGGACTTGCGTCCGACGCGTGTTCTCTTTTTGTAAGGACGGGCCGTGTAAGTCAAGCTCTTCAACAAGTGGAATTCGGACGAGGCCTTATCCTCGGTTACTTGATCGATAACCGTAGCGATGCCTCCGCCTTAAAGAAGGATCAGCCTGATTTGGCGAATGAATTTGAGCGATTACGGCTTTTGGCATCCCAACCCATCGATGATGTTGTAGAGCCTAGAGCTCGCGACCACTTAATTCACGAGCGCACGGAAGCACATCGCCAATTGGAGGACTGCCTGGATCGGATTCGTCGTCATCCTGGCCACGAAAGGTTTCTCCTAGAGCCAACGCTGGACGAACTGCTTCAGTGTGCCACCGAAGGGCCGATTATCATTGTAAACGTCACAAGCATTAGCAGTGATGCTATCATTGTTTCCAGCTCCGGTTGCAAAGCAATCAACTTGCCAGAGATCACTCAATCACAGGCCTCGGTCCTGGCTGGCGCCTTCGGAATGTCCAGATCAAGGGATGGATATGGCGAGAAACATGTTCGAGACATCAAAAGTGAAAAGGACGTCACGGCAAAATACAGCATCGGATTCTTGTCTTGGCTATGGAGAGTTTGCGTGAGGCCGATCTTCACAGAGCTTGATATCGCTCCTTCTGCGGAGCCTCCTCGGATGTGGTGGATTGGCACAGGCGTCGCCAGCTCGTTTCCGTTCCACGCTGCCGGCCTTTATTCGGAGGGATCTCGAGAAGACACGCTAAGTCTAACAATACCCTCCTACACCCCGACAATAAAGTCGCTTGTGTATGCGAGATCCTGTGCAGCGAGGGATAGCGAGAAGCACGCGAAGGCTTCAGTTCTAGTCGTTGCGATGCCTGAGACGCCCGGCCAAAAATCACTCTCTGGGGTCATCAAAGAAAGTAAGGCTATTCAACAAGCTCTTGGAGATGTTTTCAATGTCGAGTATCTGGAAAAGCCATCGGCGAAAGAGGTAATGGATAGGATGAGACAGTCAGATATCGTTCACTTTGCCTGCCACGGATCTTCAGATCGCGCAAACCCTTCGGACAGCCACCTACTTCTGCAAACCTCTACCTTAGAAGGGCCATGCTTGGATAGACTTACTGTCCAAGCCATTTCAGAAAAGCGAACCCTTGAAAAGGCGCGCATTGCTTATCTCTCGGCATGCTCAACGGCAGAAGTCAAGGATGGGCAATTCGCCGACGAAGCCCTCCATATTGTCAGTGCCTTCCAGGTGGCTGGATTTGGGCACGTAATAGGCTCCCTTTGGTCGGCCGATGATGAGACTTGCATTCAGGTAGCAAAACTCTTTTACGAGCATTTGGCACAAGATGGACGGAGGAATGCTACGAATCGAGTCATCGCAGAAGCATTACGTTATGCTACGCAAGAGGTCCGCTCTGGCCGAGATCCGATTCTATGGGCACCATACATTCACTCCGGTGCCTAGCCGTCTACCGTCGAGCCCACAATCAGTCAATAGGATCCGGATGCCGCGATGGTTTTATCATGATTGTTCTGGATTCAGGGCTGAGATGACGTTGTTAATGCTGAAGGAGACAATAGGTGTATCGGTGTCGTTTGCTGCTCTTATCATCTTCAAACATTCGAGGATATGTAGCGAAGTTGCTCAGCACGAGATTTTTGCATCAATAGCGTAATCTTACACTAGGCTAGATTTTGAATCACTTTTTTCGGGTTCGTGCGATGTAATTAGGTATGGTGTGGGGAGCAGACCTTCAGACTCTGGGCCGTGGTGATATCACGGTGGACGACACGGCCTAAGCAAGACAAATCCAACGGCATATGTCTATAGACGTTGGATCCCGAAGCCATCTTCCCTCGTCACTCCGAGATACGATCGGCCAATTTCTGAAATGGAGCTTACTCCTGCCAGTGCCATCGTCTGGCTCAGCTCCCTCTCCAAGATGTTCAACACTGCGGAAACACCGTTTTCTCCATCGTAAGCCAGTCCCCAAAGCACGGGACGACCAACAAGCACGAAGTCTGCGCCCAAAGCTATCGCCTTGAATACATCGCTTCCCCGCCTTACCCCACCGTCAAGAATCACAGGTATCTTGCCCGCGACGGCTTCCGCAATCTGCGGCAGCAGCTCCAGAGTGGCAGGCACGCAGTCCAGCTGTCTTCCCCCGTGGTTGGAAACCACGATGCCATCAACTCCGTAGTCAACTGCAAGCCTCGCATCCTCAGGGGACATGATGCCTTTGACAAGTATCTGCATGGACGACACAGAACGAAGGAACGGTAACGTAGTCTCCCATGTCAGGGCAGAGTTGATCAGAGCGCCGCCGGCGGAATCGGCGATATCCTTGGCCTCTTGCTTGGTTCGGGCGTCCATGAGAATGCGGTTCACGGTGGCTGCGCTGGCTATGGGCTTCGTGCTCAGCTCCTTTTCGGCGAGAAGGCTGCGGCGCTCAGATAATCTGTTGCCGAGTATAGGAGTATCCACGGTGAGAACAAGAGCAGTACAGCCAGCGGCTATTTTTGGGAGGAACGGCTTAGTTCTCAGGAGCGGACGCGACAGGGAACAAGACTCAACTTACCCTCGGCACGTTTGATCCATTGTACGCTCTTGCTTACGTCGGTCTGAAGATATACTTGCACCCAAAGTGGCGGAGACCTTTCCGACTTCTCTCGAGCATTAGATACATCCTCTATTGGTGTAGACGAGCCGGCCGACAGAGTCATGTTCAGATTCATCTTGGCCGTTGCTCTTGAGGTGTCTATTTCCCCGTTACCACCAGCTAGTTTTTGTCTCGCTGTTGGTGCTACCCCCACGGGCATAGAGTATGTATGACCAAGTAAAGCTGTGTCGGTGTTCACATTGCTCACGTCTCTTAATACACGTGGAATGACGAATAGTCTGACAGGTCAGTTTCTCCCATGATCTCCATCGACTAATATGACCCTACCGGTTGAAAGCACTGCTGTTCCTTTCCAATGCCCTCTCCTCGTCCGCAGCCCTCGCGAAATAGTCCCATGCAGAAGACAACATCTTTCTCTCTGCTATGTCTTGGATCTCTGCCGTCGTCAGAGGGTCCTCAAGACCGCCCTTCTCACTGTGTCTCGTCATTTCGTCTTCTCACTGAGTTGTGTTGGATGTTCGATAGTATCCCGATCAATTGTCGTAGGATTCCAGTCGAATAATGAATCAAAAGCATCGCCTTTTACATGCTTGTTTCGATGCGTCATTTGTAGTTTTGACCACTCGCTACCAAGTGGACTTGCCTGATCATGCAGATAGCCCTGACGGCCATGGGGCTCTGGCGTGCTTGATGGTATCTCTGGCGCAAGATGAGAAGTATGGGGCAGTAGAGCAGGGCTACATTTCATGTTAACGTAGAAATATGATATGGTTGGTTGTGGATGTGCCAAGCATATGGTTGGTACAGGGTTGTACATACAGACCTGCATATCCTCAATTTGATAGTCTTTACAAGAGAAGATAGCGTATCTTTTAAAGATGACTGCATGGATATAAAAAAAGCGGGTTTACTGGCCCCAAGCAATTCTCGTAACAAGGGTATGTTTTCCCGACGGTGGTTCTGAAGAACATATGGAAGACTTGGCGGCGATCGTGAGATTTGGCGTTGCTCATATCTAAGAATCCGACGTTGAAGTTCGTTTTCTCCATGCTGTGCACTACCCCTACTACTATGTGTTGTCTTTAATGCGTGTTTCTCGTCCTTCTTTTTCTTTGCAGCCAGTTGTCCTAGATATACTTGAACTTGCAGAAACCCCAAGCATTTCGGTGTTAACCTGTCACAGCACCCACGTACGGCTATGTGCCAAGACTCTCTCTAAGGTCTACAGCCATCCTACTTACCAGTGATTTCCTGACATGGCCAGGGTCAGCGTAGCGCAGCTATTATCTACAAGATAGTAAGGATGAATTAATCAAACGTTATTCGCCCTGCAGGTTGCGTGCTCTAAGGAATCCATCCAACGGCATCCGCAGACATGGACATCGCGACGCAGTAAACATCATTCGCAAAAGGTATCAATAAAGATGGGCCCTCTTCTACGAGCCTGGTTATCCGTCAACTTGAAGCTCCGTTACAAAGAGCTAAATCCGAACGCATTCGATGTTTGTCGCGGCTTGGTGATTGACATGGAAGAGCTGCATGGCAGATGACCCCCCACAACCCGTGCGACGCCTTTCCAATGCAGCACCGTGATGCAGCCCACTGGATAAGTTCACGAACGTTCAAGCCAATCCCCTCTTGAAAACTCTGACTCTAGGATCCTCAATGCGATCATTCAATAAAAGTACTGAGCGCGTGCTTCTTCTTCATGATGGCGTGACTAGCCATGGCCTTTCGATACTCAACTGTTTTAGTGGCAATTGCATGCTATTTTTCCTGTTTATATTCGGCTAACCTCATCATGTATGAGGTTTCTTCATCACAGACATTGCCATCGCTACCTCTCCTTACGCATAAGCTCCACCTTCGCCATTCCTCATATCTGCTGTAGTCGAGGGGGGTGACCACTCAGGCTTCGTCATGTCGCGAACTCAGGAAATATCGGCGCTGTCGGTGGATGAGACACCGTCTTTCCATCTCAAATTCAGAACAGCCATCCGTGGGGAGGAAGTCTCGAATGCCTTCGGAGCGGATGAGGAGATTAGCCGAGAGACTGCTCTGACAGCACTGACTGCGGCAGAGGAGCGGAAGTTGATCCGCAAAGTCGACTGGCGATTGCTACCTCTTCTGTCAATGCTGTATTTGATGAAGAAGATTGATGAGAACAATGTGAGTCCTCAGCGTTTCTTTGGTCGACCCACAACATGATTGGTTTGTTCTGACTTGGAAGTTTTGGACAGGCCTCCAATGCTCGGATTATGAATAAGGGAACGAATGAAAACATACTGGCGCAACTTGGAATCACCTCCGACCAATTCGGCATGATTACCATCCTGTATACCGTTAGTGACGCCCCCGAAAGAAGGGCGGGTGTCGACTTAAGCTGACGTTGGCGAGATAGGTCCCTTACATTTTAGCAGAGATTCCGTCAAACTTGGTCTTGAAAAGAATCAGTCCTTCCCGGTGGCAGTCAAGAATTATGATAACCTGGTGAGTGGTTGTAAACGAACAGCAACCTTTTGTTGTCTGGCGTAGCTGACGGTATGATCTCTCTGATTTTCAGGGGCCTTATCACGGCTTGCACCTCCGCAGTGACCAACCTCGCAGGGCTCTACACCGTGCGTTTCTTACTTGGACTGGTAAGCTCTGAGAGATAACAGAACTGAAATGCTTGCACTCATGTCTAAGTATATTCTAGGCAGAGGCAGGGATGTTTCCCGCTATCATCCTCCAGCTCACCTACTGGTACCGTCCTGATGAGATAGCCGTCAGGCTCGTCTGGATCTGTTAGCTTTACCCCTTCCTCTTGTATTACCGGCGCTGACTGTCGAAAGTTACTGTCGGAAATGTCGCAGGTATAATTGGAGGAATTCTTGCATACGCTTTCCACCTCGTCTCGGGAGCTCACAACATTTCTGGTTGGCAATGGTAGGAAATCATTCTGCAACTTGGTTCACTCGCTCAATCTGCTAACTTCACTTTGACAGGCTATTCATAGTAGAGGGAGCTCTGACCATCGTGCTTGCGTTTGTGGTCTGGTTCTTCCTGCCTGATTGTATGTTGGCCGGTGCTCACTACCGCGTATCTTAGACTGACTTGAACGAAGTTCCTGCGACGACTAAATGGTTGTCACCGACAGAAAAGGCTTTCCTACAAGCACGACTACCTCAAAACTCTCCAAGGGCTGTCGAAAAGAATTTCGTCTTCAAGGAGATTCTCACAACGCTCCGCGACAAGAGACTGTGGCTTTTTACGCTCAGCTGGGCTCTGATGACCACTGGAAGCAGCGGTGTCAAATTCTACCAGCCAACCATCATTTCCAACATGGGTTTCAGGTGAGACAGCTGACCCAACTTACGCCCTTGATACTAACAGTGGAAAAACAGTGGTATTGCTACTGCCCAGATTCTTAACATCCCCATGTCAGTCGTAACGATTGCCCTCCTTCTGGGCTCCGGATGGGCGTCCAACAAAGCAAGAATCCCGGTCCCTCTATTTCCGATTTCCAGTTGCGTCATCACTGTGGCTTGCTATTCCGTTTTGGTTGCCTATCCTCACGACATTGGTGTCTACATTGCCATGATTATCGGGAATGCATTCTCCATCGCGTGGTTTCCGTAAGTGACCTTGCCCACTCCCGTTGCGAGCGGCGCTCCCTAGCGATCGCCTGCCATTCAGCTTACAAAATAATCTTGCTTACTCTGAGTTGGGACAGTATGATGTGGTCGTGGCGTTCTCAAACTGTGAACGGAGCAACAGGTTCTGCATTTGCTATCGGTTTCGTGAACAGTTATGGACAGATTGGTGATGCTATTGGGCCGCAGATGTTCCAAGATGCCTATGAACCGCGCTATCAGCTGCCATTTGGGCTCGCGATGGGACTCGTAAGCCTTTGCGGGGTGACCAATGGCTATACCTGGTGGGTTACGCGTCAAACGGAGAGAGATACGAGGAGGCACAAGCTTGCCAGACTGCAAGCAAAGCTTCAAAATCAGGCCGTTCTCGACGACGTGACGGATAATGATCTGAAGAGAGATGTAGCTTAATCCTCTCGTGCGTACGGCCTAGTCTTAATTCACTCAATCGACACTAGCAAGCATGGTACATGTACAGTACTATGCCACTTGGTTATGTAGTGAGGAAAGTGAAGCCATCACAACTTCCCAATCAAGTATTGAAGGTCTTCTCACATAGTAGTTTACCTCTACGTCTCAATTTAGTATATAGCCAGCCAAGGGGGGTGGTAGATCATCTACCCCACATGTCATGCATGGTCCCTAGCCACTTTTGAGAGCACAAGTGAGGGGATATGTAACCTCCGCAATCAACCACAACCAAAACCCAGCACCATGACTTCCACGCAACAAGACCATATCGTTCTCTTAGTCGACACTCCCTTTTTTTGAGAATCTCCCAGCCTGGGTCACTGACAATTTCACCGTCACCCCTGGGGGCTACCACGATGGCCAACCATCTCGCAACAAATTGGTAATCTTCGCCGATGGCACCTACCTTGAGTTCTTCAACTGGTACGATAAGCCACCGGCCCTCGATGATGAGGAGTTGCCCATGAGATTTTGGGGTCCTAAATCCCCGGGGCTGATCGACTTCGCCATCACCAACACAACCCACTCTGCTGAGGAATTGGTGGGTACGGTCAACGAACGATTGTCCGAGGGGCCCGAGAAAGACGCCGGCCTTGGCGTCAAATTCGGCAGACCGATTGCGGGCTCACGCAAGAAGGCTGATGGCGTGGAGATCAGCTGGAAGGTCACGCGTCCGGAGTTCTCCCAAGGCGACAAGACGCCCGGCCAAGAGCTCTTCGCCGACGGCAGAATCGACGTCCCGTTCTTCTGCCACGACGTCACCTTGCGAGCTGGAAGGGTTCCAAGTGAGGACGAGAAGAAGACGACACACCCTTGCGGTGCCACTGGCATTGCGGCTTGCGAGATCCTCGTGCCCAAGCACCTGCTGACCGAGTACGCTCGTGTCTACTCCAAGATTCTCGGCTCCAAGTTCGAGCCTGCCGCCGGAAAGAGCTCGTACACCTTCGACATCGGCGTGCCGCAGGGTTGTTCCCGATCCACGGTGGTAGTGCGCGCTGCTGAGAGTGAGAAAGACATCAAGCGCATGCAAGAGAGGGGAATTGGTTTCTCCGGTCTTGTTCTTGCCGTCAAGGGCGATGCCCCTGGTGGTGATGCGAAGCGCCCGTTGGGCTCTACGGGCATCGAGTCTACGATCTGGTTGGAGAAGTCGAAGTCTTAAGGCGTTAGTGCGTTTCTGTTCAGACAGTTCGCTCCGGTACTTTTTTGTTGCCAATTCCAGATCTGGGGCAGATTTTGGGTTTCCCATTCTCTTAGAATGGCTTCCATCGGAGCTCATTTTCTTTCAGCCTAGAGCCACTCGTTTGAGACAACAATCATCAAATCAAAGTCCATTGAACTTGTTTGTTCATTGAAACTTAACTGCCAGGAACGCTCATGCCTGTACTCTCAGGACTTGATGCCGGCTTGAACGTGACAGGGACCTAAAGCACGCCTCCATGTTGACGTCGGCCTCAACGAGCAATGTCTGCATCGTCCAAGCCCCAAAAGGCCTGCAAGCTGGGGCTGACCTTGAGACACGGCCATCCGACGTGCCTCTCAGCTTCCAAGACTATTTTGTACAGCTGCCTGGTCTCATCTGGATCCGTGAAAAGCTCGCCCGCGATACCAATTGCCAGGCCCACCAACACCCGCGCCGGAACATGCTCCTCGTTCGACATCCAGATTCCGCAGATAATACGGACCGATTCCCTAATCTTTTCCTCCTGCGCCTTGACATAGCTTGCCCGACCCAGACCCAAGCTCGGCGTACGGGGATCATGCGCCAGGAGGATGATCTTGCAAATCTCCAAGTACTGTCGGCCGCTCACCGCACAGTCGTGCATGTAGTATATTGCTGGGAAAGTTGAGGCCCGGTCCTTTAGTCCGATGCTGTGGATCTCGTTGAGAGGTTCGAACGAAGAGGGCTTTGCTTGGTCCCAACTGTTTAGGTATCCCCAAAGATGATCCCAGAGATCTGTAGTGCGTCGCTCGTTGCCATATGCGAAGTTGGTGACGCGCGCTGCGTGCGCCGTCATGCAGTGCGCCCATGTCACATCAGATGCTGGGCTCAGGCCGCCATCAATCCCGCAGTCCTCGCCAAGAAGCTCAACAGGACGTTTGACCATGTTCGCGACAAAGATCTCCTGCCTTAGGACGATGGCCATTGCGGCGTTGCTCAGCTCCGTCGGCTGTAAGTTGTGTTGCCTCATACGCAGGAGAACAGGCGCTGAGACCGTATGTCTGATGACCAACTGGCTATCGGATGGGTCTGACATATTTTCCCCAAAAAGTCAGAAAAGTACCGTTTTATTTTTGGATTTGACTGACCGGTCATCTCGTCCAGGAGCCTCAGGAGCAACGCGGACACGAGAACCCCGTCCTCTTGCGGTTCCGCCACGTTCTTGTCGTTCAACATCGGAATCAAGATGCCGAGGCACTTCCGCTCGTATTCATTGGAGTCCCATTCCTCTGAGCGGACTGCCTCGAGGTATCTCGCCGAGACGGCCAGGACAGCATACAGTATCCCCGGATCCTGGCGCAAAGTCGACTTGATGTAAGACCCAAAAGGTCCACTGGGCCAGCAGTAGTCAAACTACGTAATGTCAGAAGGCTCTGTTGACTTCCTCCAACTGGAATTTGCGCCTACCCAGGGTATCAACGTAGTGAAGAAGTGTTTAACAAGTTTGGCCTCGTGTGAAAGCAATGGCTGCGGGTGAAGTGAAGCCTGGGCGGAACTGCCATTGACATCAAGGGTGTGAGTAGAGCCTGACGCTTCCTGTTCAATGAGAGGAGGCGCCTCAGATGCAGGTTGCCATGGGGCGTCAACAACATCACAACTGCCCTCGCTATCAGTGGCGGCAAGCAGCGGTCTGTTCGATCTCCTTCGATCTCCCCGTGTTCTAGACCGTGTTTTGGACAAGGGACTTGCGTCTGCGACTTCTACAGGATGACTCAACCCGCTGAATCGGATTTGAAGCTCGCTAGTTCCACCGCCCTTACACGAAGCGCGCCCGGCTTCGCAGTTTGAGCACGTCTGGCCCCTGCTCCGAATGTCACCTATGGATAGTCAGCATTCATGTCATACTCAATGAATGAGAGTGGCTATAGTTCCGAGACATGGGGACAAGCTCACATTTCTTGTGGAGTGTACGGCATCTATGGCTATGCAACCAGTCAGAAGGGCGTGTAAGTGCTGCCGAGGCCAACTCACCACGCTCGGGATGACATGCGTAACCTCGAAGCATGGGTCTTCTCTCCCCCGGGCGCGGGGTTGAACTGTTTGATGATGACCATGCCGAAGTTAGATCGAGACCGAGGGCAACGCGGGGGGGATTATGATGGAAAGTCTGGGGTAGAGACCGTTGGATAAGTCGGGGCTCCTTGCTTTTATGGGTAATGGGAAGAATTGCGATTTGGGGAAGGCGGGCGGATCTTCCAAATGCGGTAATACCCCAACCAGCGCCACACGATTAACAGTTTCCTGATGTAGTACATCGCTCCGTCCGACGTGCATGCATGAGTTGTAGTTGTTTAAGAAGGTAAAGTTCGTCCACCGGAATCAGAGGGATGATTTGACGATGTGAAAAGGCCACGAGCAGTCTGCGGGCTCGTTTTCTAAATTAGGTATGCGCCATGCAAAGACCATTTTCGTCACGATGATGATGGGCTTTCCAGAAGGAAGAGAGGCCAAGGTCAAAAAGGCCAAGAAGGGTATAAAAGGACAAAAGTTAGCTGGCGAGCATGATGTCTTTTCTGGCTGTCCGTATCAACTTCTCATCTAAGACACGCCCGCAAAGAACGACGCCATGATCGCAGTACTTCTATCCCTCGCCCTCGTCCTCATTATCTTCGAGCCCCTGATAACATACCTCCGGGACAAAAAGCGCCTCCGTCGGTTCCCAAACGCCACGTTCTTCTCCGGCATATCCAACATCCCCTTCATGATCCTCCGCTACCGCGGCTTCCGCTCCAAAGAAGTCCACCGCGCCCACCAACAACACCCCGTCCTCCGACTCGGCCCCAACACCATCTCCTTCTCCTCGCCCGGCGCAATCCGGGCTATCTACGGCCACGCAACCCCTTGCGCCAAGGGTGGCTCCTACGAGAACACCCTCACGCCCCACGCCGGCCTGATCGAGGTCATCGACAAGCAGGATCACGCCGCCAAGCGCCGCATCCTGTCCAACGCCTTCGCCACACGCAACCTCGAGCAGTGGGAGTTCAAGGTCGCGGACAAGGTGCGGCGGCTGACGCAGCGATTCGACCACGCCTGTGCCGAGGGGGGGACCGCTGTGGTGGACTTTCGCAAATGGGCTAATCTGTTTACCGTCGAGGCCATCGTGGACATTGCGCTGAGCCAGCGGCTGGGATGTCTTGAGAGGGGGGACGATCTGGTGCGTATCACGACGTCCGATGGGGGTGAAAAGACTGTGCCGTTCATCGAGGGTCTCCATGCGCCGAGGAGGGCTTTGTCGATGATTGTCTGGTCGCCTTGGTGTCGGCGTGTGAAGCCTGTGTTAGAGAGCATCTCGGCGCTTTTCAGCACCGGTCGCCAGCTCGGCGAGGATTTTAACGACTTGCTAGAATGTCTAGTCAAGGAGCGAGTACGCAAACATGAGGCAGGAGAAGAGCTGGATGATCTAGCCACCTGCCTCTTCCAAAACAAGGCTGGTCAAGCACGCAACCTGCAATTCGCCGTGATCCAGGGGCAGATGAGTACACTCTGTGAGCAGACTCACCCAAACTACTGATGCAGCATGCTGACATCCACCAGTGGACGCAGGGTCAGACACCACGGCGATAGCCTTGACCCACGTCATGTACTTTCTCCTCAAGAACCCAGACATGTTCAAACGGCTCCGGGAGGAGGTCGACCTCCACGCCGTCTTAGACACCGACGGCGTCACAACCTACGCCAGCGTCAAGAACCTGCCCTACCTCCGCGCCTGCCTCGACGAGTCCCTGCGCCTCCTCTCTCCGGTCTGCACGGGGCTCCATCGCGTTACGCCCCCAGAGGGTTACGAGATCGACGGTCACTGGATCGCAGGAGGCACCATCGTCGCGGTCCCTATATACACGGCCCACAGGAACCCGGCGTTCTTCCCCGAGCCTGAGAGGTACGCGCCCGAGCGGTGGCTGTCTGAGAAGGCCAAGAACGCGCAGGCTTCCTTCATCCCGTTCAGCGCGGGCGCTCGCGGCTGCATTGGGAGGAACATTACCTACATCGAGCAGATGATGCTCCTGGCTAGCTTGGTGCGGCGGTATGACTTTGGCTTTGACGATGAGGGGTTTGAGCTGGCTCACGAGGAGGCGTTCAATCTTTGGCCGGGCCCTATGCGTTTGCGCATCCAGAGACGACATGTGTGAGGATGCTTCTGAGTAGACAACGGCACGGCGCGGTGAAGGGAGCGAGCCCCATGGACAAGATAGGTTCAATTGTGATATGCCAAACTATATAGAACAATGGAAATGAAATCTGAGAAATTCTTAAGAAAATGCTCCAATGCCGTAACAAAGCAAGCCCGAGGTATCTCTGGGCTAGCTAACTGCCGATTATTATACAAAACCCTCACATCCCGTAAACGAAAAGAAAACACCGGCCAGCCCCCCTTAAGGCGGCACCCACCCAAGCTCCTCAATCGGCCACTGGATCCAAAGCCGATGATCCTGGTCCAACAACGTCCACGCCCTCGATATCAGATGCGTAGCCCATCCCTGCAGCCACCACTCGTTCTCCAGCCTCTTGAGCAGGATGCAAAAGTGCGAAAAGATGGCCACGGCCTCCTGCGTCGCGCCGGGGCTCTTGAGCAGCGGCAGAAAGTCCTCGGCCATGAGGTACTTCCAGACGAAGGCGTCGGTGATGTCCATGCCGCGGCCGCCGTCCCACAGGAACACGCTCAGCGTGCGCCGCAGCTCGTCGATGGCGTGGTTGTACACGGGCAGCAGCTCCGGGTTCGCGCACGTCTTGTTCACGAGGCGCTGCAGGTCCGCCAGCAGGTCCGACTGGATCTTGGACTCGTCGCGCGTGTGCATGTAGCGCTCGCGCCCGTGGGTGAACATGGGCAGCAGCGGCCCGGTGTAGGCGCGCGGGTCGAGGATCTTGAGCAGGCCCCGCGTGCCGCGGAGGAGGAACAGCCAGTCTGGGAAGGAGGACTCGCCCATGATCAGGGAGTCGGAGGATTTCCGGGGACAGGCCAGGGCTGGAGAAATGGTCAGGACTTTAACTCAGCAGCAATGAGACGTAAAGGGGAAGCGTACCGAAGAAGATGGTAAGCACGGAAAAGAGATACAGCTTCTCGCAGTTCTCGCCGTCCAGAGCTCCCATCAGGCCCATGGCCGTCCGGCTGGCCATCTGGTGATAGGTGAGCGCCCTGCTGATGAAGAAGTCTCTCCGTTCGGGCCTGTGATGGGCCAGGTGAAGCGCCGACACGGAGAGCAAGGCGCGCATGACGTAGTCGCACTCGAGGGCCAGCCGCACGACGGGGACCTTCCACATCTGCCGGACGACGGGGTCGGTCGACAACGTCGTGTAGGCGAAGGTGGTGAAGTTGTGCATCAGCTCGAGGTCGATGAGATTCAGCGACAGGTCGTCGACGCCTCCGCCTCCGCCAAAGCCCGGGATTGAACCGCCGTGGGTGCCGTTACTCGGACCCTGAGACTCGGTGCCCCCCGGCGACCTCGGGAGCGATGACGCGGAAGACTGCCGTTGGGACTGGAGAAAGTCGCACGGGACTGCGTGCTTGATGCAGTTCCTACAGGATGGTTTATGCTCATCGCACTAAAATGAGAGTGTGTCAGTATGGGATTTGTGTCACAAAGATGAGAGACAGTTCGGCCGTTCCACACACTCCTCATGAGTGAATGAGACCGACCAGAGGAACTTGCGACGTGAGTGAGAGGTCTCACATGTCATTTTTTTCATCACAAACAAAAAAACACCCACCTTGATTTTTCGATTCTTACACGTCCTACAGCCCGTCCTCGATTTTGGATGTGAGCGTCTCGAGACCACGGGCGTCGTATTCGCATTCGCCGCCGTCGACGACGCGACCACGGTGCCTCCCGCGCCCATCGTCGCAGCAGCGCCGGGCGTAGTGGCCGTCGCCGTCGGCGTCGAGTCCGGCGCCGAAGACGACCCTCCGGACCCATCCATTGGGCTGTCCATTCCGGTGGGATGGAGGCACGGCACGGCAGCCAAGACGGGGGCCCGCGATCACACACACACACACACACACACACACACACACACGCTCACTCGTTGATGTCGCTAGCGGCGGATCCGATCGGGCCTTGCAGTTGCAGTAGTGAATCCAGAAAATGACACGACCGGCGCGCATTCGGCAGCCGGCGCGGTAAGCAGGAGGACCAGGAAAAAAAAATAACTGGCGCGCGCTGGGGGTGGGCGTTGAGTTGCAGAGAAGGAAACGTTCACGGTACGTGGTTGGCGGCGGCCTCGTTTTTCTCGGATATCGCACTACGAGGCAATGCGAATACGAGGCCGGCGGGGTTTCATAAGAGGGGAAGGGCAGGGGCCGAGCGGTCCTCTAGGTAGTTGACACCATACCTCAAGCTGGAGTTGGGGGCCGGCTGAGAGCTTCTTCGCTCCAGCCATACACATCTGTCAGTCGACGCGCTATTGCAGAATGAAGGTTGCGACATAAAAAGAAACTCACCTCCGCTCCGGCATTTGACTTCGTCCAACGCCTCACACTCGCCGGATTGAGTCTTGCTTGAACAGGTAACATGAAAGTCATCTGAAATGATTGGTAACTCAGCCCGAGATTTTGTCCGTTGATCCTCTTTCCATTGAGACTATCTATCAGCGCTGTTTGGCCCCTCTACTTGTGGTATTGCTTCTCTGAGGCACGAAAACAGCACGCTCGCCCTCCTTCTCGACTGCCTTGCTCCTTTCCGCTCAATGGAACCACAGATGTCACGGGTCATTCGTTCCCTCTAAATTACCGCTCTCCCTCCTCAGTGACTAAACAACTATGCAATGTGACCGAGACCATTAGCAAAAAATCCCATGCCGCCATGATGATGGGATGAACGAAACATTTTGTCATCCCGCGTGAGTCAGAAGGGTGTCAAGGATATCCGCGTCGATTCAAATGGAGAGATTCATGAGTACGTCGTCGTAGTGAATGGGTGAGAGGGAGCTTCGTGCAGGGGCGCGCAGGTTGGGTCTTCTTTTGTTTTTCTGTCCCATGTGTGATTGCACGAAATCACCACTTCCGTAAACGCCGCTTATCACTGCTGATGCAACCGCATCTCAGTGAGCCTATTCAACCCGAAGTGCACACCAGTTTATTTGGCATGCTTCTTGAATGCGAGAAGCTCGGAAAGGCTGCCGAGCGGGCATCCGTGCTTGAGGAAGTCGTGGGCTAGAAGCTCGTCCGCGGACGCTCTGCTTTTGACGTCTACGCACAAGCAGACCGACAAGAAGGCCTTGAGCTCCTTGCTCAGCTTCTCGGGCTTCTTGAGGCGTGGCGTGCCGTTGGTGGCAATAAGGTACAGAGCCTTGAGGGGCTCCTCGTTCAGGTAGGGCGGCTCGGATTCGATCATCTCAATAGCCATGATACCCAGCGACCAGATATCGACCTTGGGGCCGTACTCCTTCTGCTTGACAACCTCGGGCGCCATCCAGTAGGGTGTTCCCACCATGGTCGCGCGCTTCGACTTGGTCTCGGTGAGCTTGGCGCAGAAACCAAAATCGGCTATGGGGTTCGTTAGCAAAGTTTGTGTGGACCTTGGTTCGGGGTACATACTGATCTTGACGTTTCCACGTGCGTCCAAGAGGACGTTGTCACTCTTGATGTCACGGTGGATAATGTTCTGGGAGTGAAGATGTTGCAAGCCGCGGCAAGTCTGCTCAAGTTAGTAACGACGTGCGATCTGCGTGTGTTGACTGTGCTCACCTCCAAGCAAATGGTGGAAATTTGCTCTTCCGTAATGCTGGGGTTGTTGTCGATCACGTCCGTCAAGGCACCACCCTCCATGTACTCCATGACGACCCAGAGCTCGGCGTTGTTGTTGCGCAGGAAGGCGTCGAGGAAGTTGACAATGTTGCGGTGTCTGCTGTCCTTCATGACCATGATCTCGTTCACGATCAACTCCTTTCTGGGCTGGTGAGCAAGATCCATCTGCTTGATAGCGACCTGAGCCTTGATGCCCTGGGCGCGCAGAACCTCACGAGCGATAGGCGAGACAGCACCCTCCTTGACCTTGGCGACGTAGACTGAACCGGAAGCACCTTGTCCAATCTTCTTTTGCTTGGAGTAGGAGAGATTCGGGTCGTCCTTGGAGACAGCCTCCTTGAGCTTGGCCATGACCTCGCTTTCGGACATGGTGGACATGCGTACGTCCTTCTGGCGCTCCTGCTGGGTGGGCTTGGCCGTCAGGGCAGCCTCCGCGGCCTTGACCGCATCGCTCTGGGGTGCGGGCTGGGCCTTGGAGACGTTCAGGGGCTTGACAGGAGCGGGCAGACGAGATGGCGGTTGAGCCTGAGCCTGAGGAGGTTGTCTCTGCTGCTGGGGGCTGCCGTTGGGGGGATACCTCTGCTGCTGCTGCTGGCTGGGCTGGTCTGGACGGGGCATGCGTTGCTGCTGGTTGGGGTCCCGCATCGAGCTGGAGCTTTGTTGCGACTGCATTGGTGGTCGCGCAGGTTGGCCGGCAGTTGGCGGCGACGGTGCCGGGCGCTGGGCACGCAGACCGTTGATCTGCTGCTGCTGTGTCGGCTTCGGTGCCGGAGGTGCTGCCCTGGAGGGGTTGTATCTGTCCGTTTGAGGGATGGACGACGATCCACCGCCGTAGCCACCAATCTCCTGCTGAGCCATGGGCGTCTTGGTCTTGGGAATGGAGGCGTTGAAGACCTCCAAGTCCCTCCGGTTCTGCTCCTCGATCTCGCGCTCTCTCGCACGCTGCGCCTCGAGCTGCTTGAGGCGTTGCTCCTCGCGAGGGTCGGGCTGGTAGTTGGAGGCCATGCCTTGCATCTGCATGCGCTGCTGCTGCGACTCGGTGGGCGACGGCCGCCGCGGCTGGTTCTGTGATGAGGGCTGGGTGTTGTAGCTGGGTTGACGCTGGGCCTGGGAGGGCGGCATAGGGCGAGGCGGCGCGACGCCGGCACCACCACCTCCATATCCAAGCTGCTTGTTTTGCTGGTTGGCGGCGGGGGGCGTGGGGGTGAGGCTGGAGTATTGTTGAGGGTTCTCGGCGCGCTTGGTCAGGTCGGAGTAGAAGTCGAGGACCTCGAAGACGGCCTGAGGGTTACGCTCATAATCCTCCTTGGTGATGGCGGAGGAGTTGAGGAGCTTCGACCATTCGGGCGGTAGGCCGACGAACTCGCCGGTCTGGGGGTCGAAACCAACGTGGACAGCGTGGGAGAAGTTGGTGGGGTTGCTGACACCGCCCATTCCAGGGCAGGCGCCGTAAATCAGATCAATCCATTCGTACAAGTCGTCGTCGCTCTTGACACGAATCTGCAACGTCTTGGTCTGGCCGTCGTCCTCACCGGGGCTGTTGGAGGAGCCGCTGGGGTTTCTCTTGATCTCAAAGATGGTGCCGGCGGCTTCGACACGGCCGACGTTGACGACGTCCTTGAGGAACAGGGTGTAGGAAACCTTGCCACCCTCTGCCTTGTGGAAGTCGAGCGACTCTTTGCGCAGGATGAGGTATTTCTGCTTCCATGGGTTGATGAAGTTCTTTGACTCCTTCACGGAGGCCCAGCCCTCCTTCTTGACGGCAACGCCTCCCATACCATCCATCTGGTTCGACTGTTGACGGGCGATCGGGAGGGAGATGGTGGAGCCGGTGTAGGTCGAGGTCGCGGTGCTCCGGATGGGGGAGATGGCCATGTTGGCCATGTTGCCTGGTAGATTATTGTTGGGAACGAGATTTAGACGTGGTCGATCGGTCGGAGGTCGTGGCGCCGGGCCTGGGTTCATGAACTGGCCGGACGAGTACACACTGCGTTCGTTAGCCATGATTGCGCAGCGTGGACGACGACGGAGGCGGGCGCGGTCTGCATGCGATGGAGGTGTTCGAATGGGTGAAACGACTTTGCGGAGGATGACAAGCAAAAGAACAACAAAGTAGTGTGAAGTTTTGCCGCCGACGACGAGCGGGTGAAGCGAAGGACGGCAAAAGGGGGGGTTGATTGGGATATGGAGAGGCAAAGGTGTGGAATGGGAACAGCGCAATTAGCAGGCTGTTGGCGGTTGACAATCGGTGAGGTGCGCCATGACAGATCGAGTCGAAATTAACCCCACTTCTAGCCTCGCTGAAGGAGTCGAGTCGAGTCGCTTCGCTGCTGGAGGGAGGCAAAGAGACAGGCAAGACACCCAGGCACTAGCAGTGAGTGTGTGTGCTGTTACTGTCTGGTGTGTGTGTGCTGTGCAGCGCAGTACTGACTGCTAGGAGGACCGGGCTGGGCTGGGCTGGGCTGCTTTTTGCTGCCCGCTTTCTGCTTGGGCTGGTTGTTGCTTGTTGCTTGGTTGCTGGCTGCTGATTGATGCGTGGTGCCTGCAAGCCCAACCTAGAGAGAACCGGCCGATTGCGGTAGAGGGAGGGACGGGAGTAGTGGAATGGGGGGCGGAGAGGCAGGAATCGGGATTAGGGATGGATGGGATGCAGCCCAGCAGCAACGGAGGAGGGGGAAGGGATGATGCGGGTGCTAAGATGCGGGTGCAAGTGCAGAGAACACGGACAGTACCTAGACTGAAGACAGACAGCCCGACAGACAGACTAGACTGATGAAATGCGATGCGATGCGATGCAACGTGGTGCAGAGCCGACGTTGGCAAAATGCACAGCGTCCAACGCAGGTAAGGCGAAGCAAAGCCAGGCAAGGCAAGGCAAGGCAAGGCAAGGCAAGGCAAGGCAAGGTCGGGTCGGGTAGGAAGGCAACGGAAGACCAACAACAATCCAAGCAAGAGGGAGATGCTTACCTGTTCTGCGTCGCCATCTCTTCTCTTCCAGCTTTCCTCGCAGGGAAATGGCAGGCGATTACAGTTTAATAGAGGCGGGTTGTTTCTGTGGCTGTCCTCGGATGCGAGCCCCCGGGCAATAGCTTAAGGTATGGAACACGCGATGTTTCGTAGACTCGCTGGTACTCTGTACTTGCGCCTCCTGGGGCTCCGCTAATATGCTGGGCCTGCTGGCCTGCTGTGGGCTGTGGGCTGTGGTTACCGTTACGCCCTGGGCCTGGTTCGGACGTCAAGATCCTTGGGTATCTGTTGCTCTTTCTTTTTTTCTTCTTCTTCGTTGGCCTGTTGCTGTTCCCCTGTCGCACCTGTGCAGGTATCTTTAGAATGGGGAATGCAATGGAACAGGGGCATGTAAGTAGTGAGTAGCGTAGCGTAGCTGTGGGCACCGCAAGCTTCTCGAAGGCTATCCGTACCGGACCAGAGGCTCTTTGACGGCGGGTCGATGGATGATGGCCAGAGTGTGGCCAAATAAGGGGGTTGTTGCCAAACGATACAAAAGCTTGACGACGGTGCAGCGGTGCCAGCAAAGGACAGGATGAGACGAGCAAAGACTCCTAGGATGGTGAGGAGGAGAGGAAGAAGAAGGGAAAGAAGGATGGAGCAAGCGAGAGAGCAGCGAGATTCAAGGACGACAATCGGATGGGGGTGTCTGTCTGGCAGTGGTCTGGTCTTGTGTGTCTGTGGTTTGGAGGAAAGGGGCGACACACACGCCTTGTTGTTGGACGCCTTCTAGTCGTGGTCGATCAGCCGAAAGGAGGGGAGGGGAAGCATGTGCAGCCCAGGTCAAACAGAAGTACTGTATCCGTACACCACTACACCTAAGGTAGGTATTGTGCAGATTCAGCTGCAGCTGCAGCCCATTCACTTGGACTCCTGCTGGAGAGTTGCTGAAGACTCTCTGACGCGGTTGAGATGAAGATAAATCTGGATGACACGGAGAGGCGGATACACGCTCAGAATGCAGAATCAAGGCCTGCAATTGGGGCCTGGAGTCCAAGCCAAGAGTTGATGCGTCGAGGCTATTTGGGGAGAGGCATGTACTATGTAGGGCGGCGTCAAGGGGTCTTGGTTCGTGGTTCATGGTCTTTGGTCTTGGCCAAACGGATGCTGTCAAGCGCGCGATTCTCTTTATCTCTCTTTTAATACCTACCACCCACAAGGCATATGCAAAAGTTCGAAACGGGCTATTTGCAGCAAGGCTAGGAGAATTATTAAGGGTCTGCTGCATGGGATCCGACCCGACTCCAAAGTGGCACAATTCGCAGCAACGGACATTTAACATCGATATGGTTGACACCGCTGCGGAAAGTGACCCAGACGGTACCTGCCTCGCGGGACGCTTTGCTGCTTCCTCACGTAGCGCCGTGCCTAGTGGAGGGGAAAATGGGAACATGCAGGGGAGTCGACCTAAGGGCCACCAAGGGTGCTTGGAAAAAAGAAGACCAGGCCTGCCAGGAAGACACCTGAAGTTTGAACCTGAAGGTGGTGCAGGTGCAGGGAAGGGGAGGGAAGAAAGAAAGACAGAACCAAATCTACCTTGCCTTGGGTACAGATGGTGGAGGGGGACATGTTCCCTGGACGCATCGAATGGAACTGAAGACTTCCCGCACGGCTGGCGAATGAGAGGCCGCCATCTCCCGGGGGAAGTCACATCTCGCTGGCATCCGTAAGGTTGGGCAGGAATGGATTCGTCTTCATCATTCCCATCTGTTGGTTTCCCCTGACACCGCTGCTTCGTTCTTCGACTTCCACTGCTCAACCGAATTTAAACAAGTTGGCTTGGGGCTGGCGAAGGCACCGCGTGCTCCATCTTGCATCTCGTTCTGTGCCATCTTGATCATCTTGGCTGGCCTCCAGCCACTCACAGTGCTTGCTGCATCTTTCGCGGCGGGATTGGGATGGAGCGAGGGGAAGACGGCCCCTCTCATCCACTTGCCTAGGCACGGCAGGTACGTACCCTCTGCGGTAGTGCTAAGATACTAGGTATCCGTAGGTAGGTAAACTTCCCCATGGTCCCTGGAAAGGTATTCTGCACAGTAGCCACCTCGTCTCGGCACGGATAGCCCTCGCTGCATCGTGAGACGTCATAGCGGGGAACCTGCCCCCAAGCTGCCCCATCCCCTCCGTCCAGTTTCCGATAAAGACAGACAGGCACTGTGCAGGGTACATGCCTACCCCCTTAACAAGCGCAAGCCCAATCCTGCACCCAGTTTTGGTCGGCAACCAGGGTGTGAAGGTCTGCGGCGCTTGCCTCTCCAACCTCTAACCTCCATACTGGTGGTTGTACTGACTGCACTTGCCAGTAGGACTGGAGTCTCCGTATGAAGGTGTCACGGCGAGGCAAGCCACACTTGCGTGGAAACCAGAGCACGGCACAACAAATGCTCTGGCCACGGCTTGACCTGTTTTACACGTCCTTCACTCGGCCTTCTGTTTCCATTCTCCTTCAACGCATCCACAATTCCGAGGCGAAATTCGCAGTGTTCTGATGCGGCCTCGTCCCGTCTTGTTTCCCACGGAGCGGGAGTCCGACACGTTTGTTTGTCCGTTGCAGCTCTGCGTCCGCCTCCTCGTTCCAGGCGCAAGCAACTGACATGGATATCCGACTTCCAAACAGAGCAAAACCTCCTCGTCCCTTCATCGCCAAACCTCACGCCTGCCCATCCTTTCGCCTCGTCTCGGTCCTTCGGCGCCTCCTCCATCACCTTGATACCCGCCTTGCGACTCACCTCTTGCTGGAGACGCGACGTCAGGAGCCCCCGCGATAAACCCAAAGCTCCGTCATTCAACTACGCTCCTACCCAAGATGCACCTACCGACGCAGAACCCAGAGACAAGAGACAAGACAACCGACCCGATGCAACCCCCACTGCGGGTAACTGCTGCACCGGCCCCTGGCTCTTGAGACTTGGATAAGGCCATTTCATGTCAGCCGCCGCCTCGCTCCCCTCGTTTCCTGCGAGACTCAATCCAGCGTCCCTATCAAGTGGCGAGCGGGAACTCGCGGCACTTGCTTTCTTGTTGCACGTGCAAACGGGGATACCCAAACATCCAAACCACTGGACGGCCTTGGGATCGTGTCGGCCATGATGAGTTAGTCTGGCATTTACATAACAGTCTAAGCAAGCCGCCGAACGTCATCCTGGCTGAAGGAAGGAAAGCACCTGCCACTCGCGCTGCCGACCTGCTTACGCCCTGAGTTGAAAGTCGCAATAGACAAAGGGACACCACCGGCTGCAGCAAACACATGAACAACCTGCCATTGAGCGTCACCTCAAAACTTGACAGGACTAGGGCCAGTGGAACTGACAGTAAACCTCCGCGTCTAATCTATGCTCGACACACCAGTCCAGAGACGCCTGCACAGAATGCGCACACGAGTAACATCACTCTCTCGTGTGACCGACCGCGGCCCCATCATTCCCTGGGCCTTGCCGGCCTTGCTTCCGAACTGCCAGCATGCAAATCGAAACTCAACTCACGCCAACTGTTTGACATCTGCTCATCCTCGCAATCTTGGCCAAATGACTGGAATTCCGGGGTTCATTCGCGTCTTGATCCCTGCACCAACAACCACATACCCGCCGCATACCTTCCACCTGCCTAATCTGGGCTACGAACCATGGACTCGAAAGTTCTTTGTCGGAAAGACTGTATATTGTCGAGTCGATCAATCCAGACTTCTGAGTTTCCTAGCCCGTGGTCTCGACCTCTGTTGTCCCCCGGGCAGTAATGTCGTCCGGCCATCCTGATTGGACGACCACGACGGCACCGACAAAGGAGGTAAGGAAGCAGACCACATCGAGGAGAGAACACACCAACGACGGACGCAGTTCTCTGTCACAGTTCGAGGTCAAGAACCTTCTCTTCACATCGGCATCGCCCGAGTCACAACAGCCATGGACCCTGTTCTGAAGTCCTCAAGGTTTGACCCCCACAGGCGGCCGAAGCTCGAGTCTGCAAACCACTAACTTGCGCGCGCGCTCGAGGAGTCGAGATGCTACCGAATGTGAGGGACGTGCCTTGGGTTTGCAGTAGCGCCCTCCTGTCAGCGATTCATCCATCTCGCACCCAGATCGCAGACGTGTTTCACATTTTTCCACCCCATTTCCGTCCCAGGACGGCAGAGAAGGGCAACGTAAAGCAAAGCACAGCTCAACGTCACACAACACCGCATCATGAGAGGGCGCCCATGCCCTCCGCATACGCCGATGCGTATCGTACCCGCTCAATACGCAGCGCTGCATTTCGCATCATTAGCATTGATGTTTCTACCTAGATCGACTGCCTGCCTGCAACGCATGGGCAGATCAATCACCAATCAACGCGCGTGCCCACTACTCTCCCCTGGTGCACGCCGCAACTACGACGTTGCAACCTAAGGAGACGAGCACAAGCCCACCATGCCCAGCAACTCCTCGGACGGCGGCCTCGAGTTTTCCCTCGGCCGACTGCCCCGGAAAGTAAATCTAGAGAAAGAGACTTGCTGGGAGGCCATGATGTGAACCGATCTAGCAACAATCTCCGCATTCTCTTCCTTGAACTTTTCTGACAGAGTCCTGACGGCCGCGTTCTCCCTTCTTCCGACTGATCCTCATTGGTCATTGCACAGCAGGATGGATCTGTCAGGGTGCGATGAGTGGTTGACTGAACCATACGCGCATACCGCAGCCTCTCAGCCTTTGGCAAAGATCAACCGAAACGGCGCGTGAACAGACTGCGCAGTCCTGTTTCCAATCCGCGGATCTGTCGCAGGTTCCTGCCTCCGGCGCCCCCCTGAAGTCGCCCTCCGGGACGGGATAGCCGCCCTTGCACTTTCTCCTCTCCCGTCAGTGCGCCAAGACGTAGAATGAGAGAGATGCGACGAAAGACTACGCTGTGCTGCGAAATGATCGGTCAACGCCGTGGCTGCCGTTGCATCCTGATGCTTATTTCTGGAATAGCTGTGTGAATCTCCTAGGGCAGTGGTGTAAGTCGATCCTACCGCTGTTGCCGTTGGCTACCTCTCGCGCGCAACGTGGTAAACGTCCCCCGGGTCCCGGGGCCTCGCACGTCCGAGGATTTCCGGCAACATGAGGAGGGGCATGGAGAGGAGAGGTCCGGCGATCCTTCCGGGGTCCTAGGACGGCAATGCATGGAACTCTGGAATTACTAGCGAGAGTATCTCCGTACATTGCCGCTTTCTTTTACCCCGCGATGCGACCACTGCACGTCACGTCGACGCCAGTAATACGATGAGCCTCTAGGCCAGACGTCCTCCCTCCTCCCGCGCGGGCCGTCGCCAGCTGGCCCGAACTTCATGGGCTTGCTGCTGCTGCTGTTGAACATGTCGTTGTAACTGCTGCTGCTGCTCAGCCACCGCACAAGCTTTCGCGTCTTCTTTCACACGTTTCTTCGTCTCTTGTATGCCGTGCATGATCTCGCAGGACAGTTGCATCCGAAGAGATGGAGGTTACTTGCTATGCTCCAGGTATTCAGCCAAGACCGGAAGCTTGAGAAATGTCGTCATGCGCGGAACGCAGACGCGCATTGGGAAACAGATGAGTATGTAAGAAAATAAAGGGTCATGTTTTCATCTTTACTCAGTTGAGAATGTCTACAGATGCCGCCCCTACACGCGGCTTTTCTACCTAGCGAGCCTTTTTCTTAATTTTACTACTTTAAGCGTCTCTCGTCTGTCTGTCTTCTGAATTCATTACATCAAAAGGAGGGGTATGTGACGTATGAGACGCGACTCTTTATCGCTGCGCGACCTCGACCTCCTGGCTCTCGAACGCCGGCAGGGTGGCTGCGACGTCCTTCCACTCCTTGGAGCCGTCAACCAGGGTCTGGATGGCGGCGATGATGGTGTCCTCGTCGCCGCGGACCTGCTTGGTCGAGTCGCGGTCGCGGAGGGTGATGGTGTTGTCCTGGACGGTCTGGAAGTCGATGGTGATGCCGAGGGGCGTGCCGAGCTCGTCGTTGCGGCTGTAGCGCTTGCCGATGGTCGCGGACGAGTCGTCCACGCGGGCGGAGATGCCGAACTTGCGCAGCTTCTGAGAGATCTGCTTGATGAAGGGCTTGAACTGCGCGTTGGAGGAGAGTGGCACGATCAGAACCTTGGTAGGGGCGACCGTCGGAGGGAAGGAGAGAACCTAGTTGAAGGATATGTTAGTGTGCTGTGTCCGTGATCGCCGTATACGTGTAGACCCTGGAAAAGGGGGCTGGTAACTTACACCACGAGCCTCGTCGCCACCGTTCGCGGAGGCGCGGTTCCAGTAGCAGTGCTCAATGAGCGAGTAGAGGATACGGCCGATACCGAAGGACGGCTCGATAACGTTGGGAGTGTACTCCCTGGTGTTCTCAATGCGTTGCCTGAACTCGATCTTGACGAGGTCCTTGCTGATCTTGACCTTGCCGTCGGCGACGCCGGCAACCTCAAGTTCCAGCTCGCCGTTGTCGGTGAGCTGCTTGGCGAGCTTCTCGCGCTGCTCTTGTGTTGTCGCCATCAGAGCACCCTCGACTGCCCTGCCGTCCTTCTTGAACTGAGGACCAAACTTCTTCTTGTCAACCTCGACCTGCCACTCGTCGATGACGAGGGGCTTCTCGCGCCGCTCGCGCACCAGCAGGGGAGCGCCGGTCTTCTTGGCGTGGACAGTCAAGTCGTAGGCGCTGCGGTCAGCGCAGCCGACACACTCGATCCAGCCGGAGGAGGTGAACAGCTCGGCGTCCCAGCAGTCGGCGGCGTAGTGGGCCATCTCGTTCGCCATATGCTGGCGGAAGCGGACCTTTGTCATGTCGACACCGATCTTGGACAGGAACAGGTGGATGCGGGCGAGGAAGTAGCCGAGGGTCTCGTTGTCGACGACCTTGTTCTTGACGGCCTCGCCAATCTTCATCTTGCGCACGTCGGTCTTGCCAGAGAGCTGGGTGTGGCGGTCGAGCAGGGTGAGCTCGATGTCCTCGACCTCGACGAAGCGGGAGTGCTTCTTGCCGCCCTCGGGGTCGACAAAGTGCTCAATCTCGGCCATGAGGAACTCGCGGACTCTCAGCAGGCCACCTCTCGGGGCAATCTCGTTTCTGTAGGAACGGCCGATGGAGGCGGAGGCGAAGGGCATCTGCTCCATGTTGAAGTTGAGAAGCTTGGCAAAGTTGAGGAACTGGCCCTGGGCGGTCTCGGGGCGCAGGTAGCCCTTGGTGTTGCTGGAGGGGCCGATGGCGGTCTGGAACATGAGGTTGAAGGCGACGGGAGGGGAGGGCTGCTCGGCGGTGGCCGGGTTCCTGAGGTCGTACTTCTTGATCAGCTCGCCGAGCTCCTTGCCGTCGTAGTTGTCGATCTTGGCCAAGACCTCGTTGTACTCTTGGACGAGGGCGTCGTCGAGCTTGAGGGCGATGGTACTCTGCTTCCTCTTGGCCTTCTTCTTGGGGTCATCCTCTTCCTCGACCTTCTCGCCGCGGGCCGCCTTGTCGCCCCTGAGGCGGGCCTCGAGCACATCCTCGACGAAGTGGTCGGCACGCAGGATATCGCCGTTCTTGGGGTCCTTGCACATCCAGTCGGCGAACTTGTCAACGTGGCCGGAGGTCTTGAGGACTTCGTGGGGTGTCAGAACGGTGCAGTCGAGCTCGAGCATGTCCTCCTCGAGGATGAAGTGCTTGCGCCAGAGGTCGACGATGTTGGCCTGGAGAGCGCAGCCGGGAGGGCCGTAGTCGAACAGACCAGCGACGCCGCCGTAGATCTCGAAGGCGGGGGTGAAGAAGAGACGGCGGCGCAGCATGGCGTCGAGCGTCGGCCGGTCGAGGGGCTGGCCCTTGAGGGTCGTCGCGGTGGTCGTCATGTCGTCGTCGTCGGCAGCAGCACGCTTCTTCTTTAAGACTTTGGCCCTGTTGAGGTGACGGGAGGTGGTGAGGGTGCGGGTGCGGTTGCTGTGCAGCAAAAGGTTGTGGTGGGAGGAAAGCGAGGTGGACGTGGAGGGGGAGGGGTAGTTCTGAAAGTGGGCAAGTGAAAAAGCGGCCGGCCGAAGTGCACAGAAGCTAGCTGTGGAACGAATAGAAGACTGGTGTCCGATAAAACGAAAGGGCTTCATCAACGGCTACGTTTTATGGTGGGGTCTGGGGGAAACGTGAGTCACAGAGCCAAGGCCGTTGCAGTCAGAGGGGAGGCTGCTGAGATGCGTCCCCCTTGGAGTTCAGAAGGGCATCAATTCGAGTTCGAGGAGCGCGATGCTGCGTGCTACGATTGCTGCTGCTGCTGTGTCTGGATTGTGACTCTTAATGTCGTCTGCCCTTTTTTTCCCACCCCAGAAATTTCATTGGTCCGTTAGTGCCTGCCCTGTCGCGCGGTGCGATCGGCCCAGCCCACCTCAGGTACCGGACGGACCACCCGCCAGAGCGTGAACGGCGTAAAGCATTGGACCGGGTGGAACAGAGGGAAGGACCAAGAGGAAAAAAAAGTGAAGGGGAAAGTGACGGAAAATTCAATTCGCCGACAGACACCCCTGGCCCCCGCGGGCCCGGTCCCGTTCAGATGCATTTGCTGCAGGGATTGGTCGGTGCCCCGCCAAAATTTCTCCAAACTGATTTTCACCGAGCGTCGACCAGGACTCGAATTTCGACTTTTTACCGGCATCTCAGCACGTTGCGAACCGCTAGACTACGACAGCATCCCCGCTTCCCTCAATTGACACCACGATACCCGTCACGCCCACGCTGTCCAACGAATAATCAGGCATGGGCTTCTCCAAGCCGGGCAGGTCCATGTCGGCCTCGCTCTCGACCAAGACCTCCAACAAGCTCAAGCGCAAGGAGCTCTACGTGCTCAACAAGAAGGAGAAGGACAAGGATCAGCGCGAGAGGCGCTTCCGCCGGAAGAAGGAGGAGGACAAGGACCCCGAGCTCAAGGCCCAGCGCCTCGCCAAGAACCAGCCAAAGACGCTCGACCAGAAGCGCGTGTGGGACGATGTCGACGACGACAGCCTGGGCATGCAGGTGGACGTGGAGAAGCTCAAGAGGCGGAGGATAGAAGAGGAAGAGGCGGCGCAGAACGCGGAGCTCGATCGCGAAATCGACGAGGAGGAGGGCGACGACAGCGACGCAGACAGCATGCTGGCGTCGGACGACGAGGACGACGAGGAGGCGGCAGAGGCAAAGAGGGCGGAGCGCGAGAGGAAACGCGAGGAGAAGAAGCGCGCGCGCAGGGATAACTCTACTGCGCCCTCGACAACCAGCACAAACCTCGACCTCACGCCATCCTCCCTCGCCCTCAAATTCCCCATGCTCTTCACCGACACCCCGCCGCCCGTCCCCAAGGTCCTCCTCACCACCTCCCTCAACTCGACCCTCCACCACGAGGCCAACATCTTCCGCTCCGTCTTCCCCAACGCCACCTACGTCCCTCGCTCCGCCCACCGCTTCGGCCACAAGTACTCCCTCCGCGAGATCAGCAAGTTCGCCGCGAACCGCGACTACACCGCCGTCGTCATGCTCAAGGAGGACCAGAAGAAGCTCACGGGCATGAGCATCGTCCACCTGCCCGCCGGCCCGACCTTCACCTTCTCCATCACCAACTTCATGGAGGGCAAGAAGCTGCCCGGCCACGGCAACCCGACGAACCACTACCCGGAGCTGCTGCTCAACAACTTCAAGACGCCCCTCGGCATGCTCACCGCCGCCCTCTTCCAGCGCCTGTTCCCGCCCCAGCCCGAGTTCGAGGGCCGCCAGGTGCTGACGATCCACAACCAGCGCGACTACCTCTTCTGGCGCCGCCACCGCTACGTCTTCCGCGAGAAGCGCGAGACGGAGAAGAACATTGTCACGGCGGAGGGCAGCGAGATGAAGGGCGTCGAGGGCATCCGCGTCGGCCTGCAGGAGGTCGGCCCTCGCTTCACCGCGAAGTTGAGGAGGGTGGACAAGGGTATTGGAAGAGCCGGCAGCGAGGGTGACGACGCGCAGCCGTGGGAGTGGAAGGCCAGGATGGAGAAGGACCGGAAGCGCTTCAACTTGTAGCCGATGTTCATCTGGAGAGCGAATCGCAAGAGTCAGATGCGATTTCTTGCATGGTATTTGGTCAGGGACTACCCCGAACGGCGTTTTTCTGTTGCATTAGATAGAGACCGTATCAGACGAATTGGAGCAGGGTTAGGTGTCATCTCTCGGACCGATGAGGGAAAAAAAGTTATCAATTCATTGTTTGTGTATAAGTTCGACCATCATATTCCCCAGACGCCGAGCCGTGAAAGGTTTGGTTTCACATAAGAGGTATCATCCATAGTAGACCCTTTCTAATTCCCACAGAACCCCAATCTACAGAACGCCGTCATGTCCAGCGCTTCAAATGCACAATAAGTAGAACAAGTTATAAAATGACGCAAGCCGCGCATGTCGATGATTTACTTGCGCTGCTGCTTCTGGTGCTGAAGCATGACGACAGAGTAGCTGCAGTTGGTTAGCCGCATGCACGTGGTCGGTGTAGGTTACTGAAGAACTCACCCGACAATGCCACCAATAGCAACGAAGACACCCAGGACCGACTTGTCTCCGATGGCACGACCGGAGACCATCCAGCCGAGAGCGACAATTGTGCAGGTCTTGAGGTGGCCGACAACGGTACTTGAAACGGGGCCGGTTTGGGCGATGATGAAAAACTGAGAAATGTTGATGAGGGAGGCGAAGGCACCAGACTGAGAAAATTAGCAGCTATCCTCGAGAGTCTCAAAAAAGTGCGACTCACCATGCCGATCATGAGCCAGCGGTTGCCGGGCACAGTCATCCAGTCGGGGAACGTATCGACGAAGGGAATGACATAGAGCAGCAGGAAGGAGGCAATGGGCGCCTGGTTGTACAGCAGCTGCATGCTGGACATCTGGAGCTTGCGGTGGTAGCTGGCAATCCAGACGGTGTAGAGCGATGACGCAAAGATGCCGGTGAAGGCGAAGAACACGCCCAGGCTGGAAGTCGTCTTGATCTTCGAGTCTGAGGTGGGGAGAGAGTCATAGTATGAGACCATTCCGACGCCAAGGCAGGCTGGGATGAGAGCCAGGATCGCATTCCGGGGCAGCGTCGCCTTGTACAGGACGAAATTCATCAGGGCGACAGTCGGTGTCAAAAGAATACGGGCGATCTGATAAAACGTGACGGAAGAAAATGCCAGCGACAGGTTCGGCAGAATAACGTTCAGGCACATGGCGATAGACAGCGGGAGGAGGTCCCTGATCGAAGCCCGGCGCGGGGTGAAGTAGGCGAACATGGGTCGCGAGAGAATGTGAAGCGTGAGGAAAGTGACGAGGAAGTGGAAACTCGCAAAGGTGAGCTGGCACAACTTCCATTGAGGGTCGGAGAAGATGGCCTTGTTTGTGAAAACCTACTCTCAAAGTTAGCAAATACAGCCTCTTCGACATTGTTCATTGTCTCTGAGGGTTTCCCCAAACTCACGATTCCAATGGTGGCCAAGGTGTTTACGACCATCCATACAACGGCACCGGCAAAGCTGGCCTTCGCCTTCGGGGGCTCCTCTTTCTCATTGCTGGAGGGCAGAAGCTTCTCGTCCTCCTCAGCGTCGGCAAGCCTCTCCTCGTCGTTGAGCGACTTGAGATTCTGCACGCTGTCCTCCATTGGGTCCAGCTTGGTGAGCTCGTGAAGAGTCGCGGTTTCGGTGGAGGACGAGGCGAAGGACCCCGCTCGTTCTGTACGCTGGCTGTCGGCCATTGTGAGAATTTTGCGGATTGAGAGTGTGGTTAATGAGACCGCAAGAGTGAGCGACGATGGATGGTTTGGGGGCGTGGGTGGTGCGAATCGGTGATCATCGAGGGGTTGGCGGTCCTTTTTCAGTCAACCATGGAGCGCTCGACAGCGGTTACACGAAGGGAGTCTCGGGCATGTGCTGGAATGCAGCCAAGGGAGAAAACTCGTCTTGTCAAATTCCGGAGATGGTCGCGCGGAATTGACGGAGAGGAGTGACGGGTGCAGATATAATGATACACATGGAAAGGTCCGAGGCGTTCTTCCATCTTGCCAGGTCTCGGCGGGCGACGGTCGCACCTACCTAGTACCCCGGGCTGAAAGCGGCAGGGGTAGCAGAGTGGAGGGCAGGGGCAGGGGTCTGGGACGTGGAAGGTGGGAGGGAGACGACGCAAGTCCCTCGCCGGTCCACCGTCCCTGGGAACCACCTCAGAACCTACCTTAGGTACACCACGCTCACGCTGTAATAAGGGCAGTGGAGGGCAGGGGAGGGGCAGGACGGGCGGGTGCGACTGAGGATAGCGAGCCCAGGTCCTGAGGCGGGCAGGGGCCAGAGAGGGGGATTAGCACGCTGGCACGCAAGCTCCGGCGCTCGTCAGGCCTGTCCGTCTCCTCAGGGCTCTTCTCCATCCAAAGCTAAGCCTTCCGCTGCCTGCCCTGGTCTCGCCTTTTTTGCCCTAGGAGCCCCCGACGGAACAAGGCGACTTGGCCGCCGTCCGCGTCCCTGGGATTTGGGGATTTAGGTAGGGCTTGTTGAGACGGACGGGACGGCAGTGGGTGGAAGCAGGCAAGTAATCGTCAGATTCAGATTGGGGGCAAAGAAATGGAACTCGCACCAACGCGCGAAATACAAGCGACGGCAAATAGTCTGACGGCACCATCCTCTCTGGCCACGTACTGCTCGGTCGCTGCTAAAGACGAGCGGCACAGGTGGAAAGTCACAAGAGAAGTACCGCCCACCCGAGGCTACCTAGGTAATAAGGTACGGATACTTACACTGGATCGCCATCACAGACCGCGCGCCAGACCCGAAGCCGACTGCATCGAGTCGTCCCTGGAGACATACTCTTGGGCTCACGGCCTACTGCATACAAGACTGGCTCCTCATGGCTTGTTGATTGGCGTCCACGGCGTCCGGGGCTTATTTTGCTTCTCCCAAATTCCCAGCTTGTTTGCCCACCCGAGGGGCTTATTAGGTTCGTTCGTTTTCGACGCCCAAAACGTATGTCTCCCAGCAGCAGGCTTCTTAGCAGCAGGCTAGCGCCAAGCCACTAGGAACTCGTAGACTTCAGCCCCTCTCCAGCCCAATCACCGTCTGGATCCACGAGAGCCATCTGCAAGACTTGTTTGCTTTGCCATCAAATCTGCAACACTCAGGATGGCAGCCTGAACCTGATCCGTGGTACGGTACCTTACAGTACGCGCAAGACACCCGCTCAGATGTCGCCGTATCGTCTGGTCTCTGGGATGGTCCTTTTTTTCGCGCCGCAGGACAACCGCAGGGCGGCAAGCGGTTTGGCGCAATACGAGACCACCATCTTGTGGTTCCCCCCCAGGCCTCATCAGCGAAAACCATGAGATCGACGAACGCAGTCTTGTCGTGTTCATTCACTTTGTATGGGCGTCCAAGGTAATTTTGAACCACCATGTCCCCGGCTCGCGCTTGAACAGACGGAGACGGGGCCTGCCACTGTCTGGCAATGCGCGAGAACACCGGGCTGTCCGACAAGCGCCCCAACTCTCTCTAATTGTTCTCTCTTTCGCTCTCGCAGCCATCCCAGCGAACCTTCAGTGATCTGATCCAATGTGGGCACACGTCACCATGTGGACCGTGGCCATTGGCCTTGACACAGAGTTGGTTTCGACGGAGCAACCGGCCAGTTCTGACCCAGGATGACCGCGTCTTTGACAGTGCCGTCCTCCTGGGTTGGGTTGGGTTGAGTTGAGTGACCCGGCGCCTTCGGGCTGGACTGTCCCCAGAAAATCGAACACTTCCTGTCGACTCCCCAAATAAAGTTTGACAGAGAACAATTAACAATAAACTCCTAGATTGGAAGGTTTGCTCTCTGAGACGGCGAATCTCCAAAAGCCAAGCGACAGTGGTACTGCCAAGCGCCCAGCGTCAAGCCTTCGTCCCTGTCACCATTCACTGCAAAACGTCTGTCAGCCCGTCGAGAGCAAGAGACCTGTCTTGGCCGCTGTCGCACTTCATTCAACCAGTGCAACAGCATACCACAACAGCACGGCACGCCTCATCCGCCCGTATATCCGTCTGCTCCACCCACCGTTTGGCCTCAAACTGTCACGGTCAACCGTTGACAAGAACCTCTAATGGCTAGGACATGGGATGTTGAAACGCTTGACCAGAGAAGTCTAGAGTACCTACCGCCGCGCGGTGGCCCAAAGTCAACTAGCGAGAACAGCGAGGTGATGAAGACTTGGCATCACCGCTTCTCGAGAATTCGCCATGTCCTGATCCATGATCTTCAATGCCCCTGCGTCAATCTCATCTGAAGACGGCAGCAGCATGCAAGCCCGCACCGCACCGCCGGCGGGACGGGGTCTCTCGATGGACCTGGTGGTGGCTCCCTTGGTGGCCAAATTTAGCTTCTCTTGACTTTATTGTCAGGGCTTGGGAGCCCCCCATTGCTCGCTGCCGGCAATCAATCGTCGGATCATCTGGCGCATATCCCTCGCGATGAACATGTCAGTGGTTGCGTGGAATTTGATTACCGTTCACTCCGTGCCTCGCTGGGATAGGCCAATGTTTCCCTTGCCTTCCGAGAATTCACGTTGGAGCGTTTCAGCATTCTCCGGACACCACGAGGCTGTGTGGTGCGTGGGCCAATCCGAGATATGGAGGGAAGAGCGTGGTAAATATGAGCACCACATTCTTGCGCGGAAGACCCCCACAGGACCATCTCAAGCCACAAGAGACGCGCAGCCGCCCTCCCCGGTCTAGACGGCGCGCCCGCGCGTGCTGCCGGAGCTGGCGAAGGCTCTGGTCATCACGACTCCACGTCGAAGCTGCCGGGCGAGTGGGAGTCCGGGCTAACATGCTCCGCTCGTCGTCATCCAATGGAAGACTATGCGCCGACTACACATTCGTCAGCGAGTCGAGTCCGTGAACGTCGACGGAATGGCGACCGAATGTAATGTTTACACCGTCCAAGGCTGTCTGTGGCGTCCGTCACGGGCCGCTCACGAACTGGTCTTGGAGGGCACCATGCATGTCGTATAAACACGATGTGGCCCTGTCGTGCTTACCG